CGAACGTCATGATATGGCTGTACCTCCACTTGTAAATAAATAGCCTGTCTGAGATCGACCTTTGTGTGGATCAGACAAATTTCCTGCATCTACATAACCAATCATTGATGGCTTGGATTCATTTGAATAAAATAAACCCATATCAATGGTCCCTTGAAGGTATCTGAATATATGTTTAATACCATTCCAGTGTCTTTGTGTTGGCGAAGTACTAAATCTTGCCAATAAGCTTACTGAGAAAGCTATATCTGGTCGGGAATTATTGGCAAGATACATTAATGCCCCAATTGCACTAAGATATGGTACTTCGGCACCAAGAAGCTCTTCATCATTTTCATGAGGTCGGAATGGATCTTTCTTTATATCAAGTGATCTCACAACCATCGGGATACTCAATGGATGTGTTTTATATAGAATCGCTTTAAAATCTTTTCGGTGTATGTTGATTGATGGACAAATATTCCATCTTTCATATACTCAATTTGTAGACCAAGACAAAATTTTGTCTTTCCAAGATCTTTCATTTCTAATTCTTTCTTCAAACAGTCTACTATTTTTGGAAGCTCCCCATGAGTTCCAATGATATTTAAATCATCAACATACACGACGATTATAACAAATTCATATCCAGACCTATTTATAAAGACACAAGGACAAATTGGATCATTCTTTTACCCTTCTTTCAACAGGTATTCACTCAGGCGATTGTACCACATACGACCTGATTGTTTCAATCCATATAAAGATTTCTGAAGCTTTATTGAACAAGTTTCTCGAAAACTTTTATATGTTTCTAAACAATTTAAATCCTTCAATGATTTTCATTATATGCATATCAAGTTTTTCATGTATTGCCAGATTAAAATCTTAAATGACTACATCCACCACACTAGAACATGTCTCTATATAATCAATGCCAGGATATTTACAAATATTCTTGTGACACAAGTCGTCTTTATGTCTATCGACTTGACCTTTTTCGCACAAGAACACATTTACCTCCACTAGATTTATACTTTCAGGTGTTGGGACTCCGTCCAACTTTATATTTTTCAAGTGAAGTCAATTTTCATTGAGTATTTTTCATTTGGCCAATCATTTATCTGTCCAAATTTCATGACAGATTTGAGCTCAAGATCCTCGTCAATATTAATAATATTGAGCGCTACATTATGTTAACAATATCGTCGACGATCATTTTATATCGGTTCAATTATTACNCTCGTCAATATTAATAATATTGAGCTCTACATTATGTTAACAGTATCGTCGATGATCATTTTATATCGGTTCAATTATTACACAATAAAGACATAACTTATCAAGATCTCTGTATCTCATTATTTTTCAGGTACCTGAGCCTCTCACATGAGGTTTTACGAAGTGTTATGTTGTGGTGTTCTTCTACAACACTTGCATCCTTATTATGACCATTTTGAATATTTGCCCTTCTCCTTCTTCAAGGAGATTTATCTTTGGAACCGATTGGTCTGTTACGCTTCATGCGTACCATAGACTCTGTCCCTCATGGACTTTATTTTATTTGGAGCATTAACAGCTGAAATATGACATTTAGCTTTGGGTCAGCAAATGCGTCTGGCAATAATTTGTAAATGAATTATCACTTGAACTTCAAGTTCATATTTTCTTGTACGGGGATCTATATATATTCATAATAATTCATTTCACGTATCACTTTCTCAGCTGCCCATTTTCTCCCCCTAAAGTTGGGATCACCAACACATTTCTCAACCTTCTTTGGGAACTCATCTTTGTGTATTTTGTGGCATAATTAAATCATATAGCACATCTATATTTCTATATAGAAATTATTTGGTTCCTGACCCTGAACCGATTGTGATACGGAGAATTTTTTTTATAACTTCGCTAGATGCGTACAAGTGCTGTTGTATATTAAATAATACATCTCATACCAAATTTCGTTTTTGAGAGTTTTGTTCTCATAACCAATGATTTAGCTATAATTGGAGGCATACAATTTCTGCTAAACCAACTTGGATTTAAACCAGTATTATTAAGATAAATCATTATAATTTATATTCTAAAACTGTGCTCTAATAACCTGAGCAAGCAATCTTGCAAAAGCCAAACTGCAAGTTGATAACAAATGCACATGTGACCAGATAATAGATGCATCTATTAAAATCATATAATAGTAAACGGTCCACATGGCAGGTGACTGGGCCCATATATTTATCACCTTTTAATTGTTCTAGAAATCAAGGGATTCAATCCCAACCTTAACTGGTATATCATGAGAATAAGCAGCACAAGATAATTCTTGAAGAATCTTTCTATTCTTCAATATATGCCAATGTAATTCTCAATTAATTTTTCGCATCATAATTGAACCAGGATGGTCAATCGGTTATGCCAACTAATATTTATTTTAGTAAATCTCTAGTTTACTTGTGGCATATTATTTCATCATCATACTTTTATTTGTGTAGTACAAATAGAAAGAAAATCGGGCAACCTTTCATATTTACCCGGTATGATTATAGAAATATGAAGATAGTCAATCTTCCTTTCATTTATAGTCTCAATATGCCAACAACTTTGACTTATACATTTGAAACTCAAAAAAAGTTTCTTTTGAGACTTTACAATATCAATATCATGACTAATTTTATTCATCCGGGTAGTAACAAATTAGTTTTTTCGGAGCTCTTAATAACTTTTGTACTACAAGATATTTTATCATACCATTCATATGGTAAATGTATCTTTCACGGAGAAACTTATATCATAATAAATTGTCATGGTCAAAATCATCATAAGTAAAATCATTTCTTGCTCTAATTTTGCTTTTAATAACTTTTATAAGACATGACAAAATAATATTTGGCGTATCACATGTACGTGACCAATGACATATTCATGTAACCACACAATAATATTTATTCTCTTTATTCATCATTGTATCATCAGTATGGTACAATGGGACACAAAACCCAATGTCTTACCTCTATAAAGGCATGTTAGGCCATAATAAATTGGGATCCAAACTCAACTCTTATTATTATGGAGCATCAGGACTTGATCTCGATGTCTTACCCTCAATCAATGGTATAATAGATTAAACAATATTGAGATTCACTCTCAAGCCTTAATTTTAATAACATGCCAAGAAAGTTGTAAACAACTAATTTGCAACTTAGCAAATCAAATTTGCTTTCTTAAAGAAGTGTACAAATCTCAAATTAGCGTAAAACTTTATTAATTATTTGTAGCATCTATATGAAATACAACCGTTTTTAGTCAGAATATTTCTTCTAAAATCTATTAGAGTTTAAATGGATATAAAATCATTGTCATAATATGCCAAAGTGCACTATGACTCACCCTTGAGCCTTTATGAAATATATCAATTATCATTAATCTTGTGGTCATCAGTAGAAGCGGAGTTAGTTATAAGAATATAATCACTTCCACAAGTCATGTATATCATGAAACTTTGCTATAATTCAAGTGTTATTTACTAATGCAAGATTTTCAATTTTAAATAACTATTATATAATAAATTTTAGGTACTGATAAACCATCAGCAAAGTAGTAACAACCATATAGAAAACGATTAAGAAATTATTATGATCTATTGACAATTAAATCTCATAATTAAGCATTGACATCTGTCAGTTACCACTTTCCAAATAAAATGTATCTTAAAATCCTCTTTTCTAAAAGAGAGAGAGACATCTTCAAAATAATCAATATATTTATATGCTGCAAATTTACATCCAATAACTTGTAATAAATCATGATAGTGTTTGATAAATATTATAGAACGCATAAAAAAAAATCACTAAGTATTTACATGATATATTAGTAGCCAAATTAAAAATATATACATGTTCAATATTTATTGAATAAGTCAACACACCTGATCAAGCTATTTAAATTACACAAAGACTAAAATAGTTTAAAGTGATTAGAGAGATTCAAAAGAAATCCAATTGATGAAAAATTCAAAGAAAAATTAAAGTACTTAAAAAAACTGAATATTTAAACCATAGTTCAACTTAAGCAAGTTCTGTTTTGAAAGCTTACATATGAAAAGCTTAGCTATTATTAAAAATCAATGTAACTAACAATATTATTAATAAATGATGATATAAGAGTTCTAAAGCGGATCGCGTACACTTGTTAGGCTAAAAAGATTAAGTGAAGGAAACATATCTCACATATTTTACAGAATAGAATCACATCCTTGAAAGCTTTGGAAAATTTTCAAGTTCAATAAATGAAAATTAGTAAACTGTAAGCTTACATATGTTTCTTCTTGATTTAACCCGCTTATTTTCGTGCACAAATGATATTGTACTTTTGTGTAATATGAATAATACGAAATCTTAAATCCCAAATATTAAAATGATAATTCATAGGAAAAATGAAAAAAAATACTCCCTGGACAATTGAAGCAAATTGATTCACATATGAAATACTCAAACTTCCACCGAGAACGTAACTGATTCTAGGTATTCAATATTTTGTAGTTCAACGATTAACTTGGCTACCTTCGTACTTTAAGATGATAGCTGAAATAAAAATTAGAGCTTCGTGCTGATAACGTGTTATAAAATAAAAGCAATGCAGTAAAATGTAAATAAGAAGAGATAGAAAGAGGGGAGAAGTATTTTCTTCTTTCACTTTGGTGTATTTTTCCATTGCAATTATATGGCCTTTTATAGGCATAAAAAGTAAAGATGATGGACATAAAGTAGGAAATTTAATCTTTAAGTTATTCACAACATGGACATCCAATGTAGCATCCAATGTAGTATCCAAAGTAGTATCCAATGTACAAACTATTCATAACACTGTGGACATTATTGAAATAATAATTGAATTGTTGTTTGGGTCTTTTCCACAAGTCTTCACTCTACTGCTCATGCTTTCATATATTTTTTGATTAATAAAGCCTAAGTGGTCACAGAAACATAAAATTCTATTGAACATCTACACTCAGAGAAAGAGAAATGGCTTATGCTGCTATGTCTTCACTTATGCATACACTGGAGCGTCTCTTGCAGTCTAAATCACCTTTGATTTATAGAAGCTGTATACAACAACAACTTGTTGAATATGCTTTTCAAAGTCTTTCTGCTCTTCAAGTTTTTCTTGAGGATACTTCAAAGGAAATCAAAGATATTGAAACTTTGAAGATTATAGAAAAAAGGATCAGAGATATAGTCTACAAAGCAGAAGAGAGAGTTGATTCAACCCTTAGAATAATCATTCTAGAAGATCAACAGAAACGAGAACAAGCTTGTAAATCCTTCAATGAGGAATTGCAAAAAGTGCAAAAAGAAGTTGATTCTCTAAGGAAAGAATTGATGGAGATTGAGTTTATCGAGCATGGAAGCAAATCTGCAGAAGCAAGTACTTCTACCTCATCAAAAAGGTATGCGACCGAGCAACATACTGTTGTCGGGATGAAGGATGACTTCAACACCATACTAGATCGTCTCACTGCCCAAACAGATGAGCTAACTGTCATACCTGTTGTTGGTATGGGCGGTATAGGTAAGACAACTCTTGCTAGAAAAGTTTATGATGATTCAACAATTCGTTATAGGTAAGACAACTCTTGCTAGAAAAGTTTATGATGATTCAACAATCCGTTATAGATTTGATAAACATGCATGGGTAACTATCTCTGAAGTTTATAATGAGAGACAAATGCTTCTTGAACTTGTCTCTTCAATTAGCCAGGGTAGGACTGATAAAAGTAATCAGAAAATGAGCAATGATCAACTAGCGGAGATTGTGTATAGAGGTGTGATTGGTAGGAGATTTTTAATTGTCATAGATGATCTTTGGAGTACTGAGGCTTGGGATCAAATACAAAGAATATTCCCAAATGATAACAATAGAAGTCGAATCCTATTAACTACTCGCCTTAGTTATGTGGCCGATTATGCAAGCCCTGATTTTCCTCATCATAATATGTCTTTTCTAAGTTTTGATGAGAGTTGGATTCTATTTACCGAAAGATTTCTTAGGGAAGACATATGTCCTCACCTAGATGAAATTGGGAAGCATATCATAGAGCAGTGCCGAGGATTACCTCTCTCGATTATTGTCGTTGCTGGACTTCTTGGAAAGATAGATCCGACCCGTGACAATTGGAAGAAAGTTCAGGAAAATTTGAACTCATTCTTTGGTACGGTATCTGAACGGTG